GCTGGGGAATTGGGGGAAGGGGAACAGACAAGTTGCTGTCCTTTTGCTCCTCAGTCCAGCTGTGGAGGACGCCGCTTCACTGGCCCCAAGTTAGCACCATCATTGCGCTCCTTCCGGGCGAGGCAGACCGGTCGCCGGCCTCTGGACGGCCGCCCACTGTGGCCGCTGGCCGCCCACGCCGGCCGCCAGCTACACACGGCAGCCCATGGCAACCCACTGCCACAGGGGCTGCAGCCTATGCCGTCGCCGGCGACTCACGGCAGCCCCAGCTCCAGGTTGAGCTGCTGTTCAGCATCCTAGCTGCGGAGGGCAGTGTCACTGGCCCTCACATGCGGGATCTGAACCGGGGCCCTCTGGCGTCCCAAGCCAGCTCTTAACCATCGCGCCACTTGGCCGGCCCTAATGTTTTTTTTTTTAATTTAATTTTTTAAAAAAGATTTTATTGGGGGAATTGAGGGAAGGAAACAGTGTTGGGGAACTGGGGAAGGAGAACAGTGTTGGGGAATTGGGGAAGGGGAACAGCCAAGTTGTTGCCCTTCAATCTTAGCTGTGGAGGGCGCAGCTAGCTCAGCTCCAGTACAGTTGCCATCCGGCCACCTGTAGGCAGCTCGCGGCCGCTCAGTTCAAGGTGCCATGTTCAATCTTAGTTGAGGGTGGGCACAGCCCACCATCCCATGCTGGAGTTGAACCGGCAACCTTGTTGTTAGGAGCACGTGCTCTCACCAGCTGAGCCATCCTGCCACCTGTTGGCAGCTCAGCGGCAGCTCAGCTTGGACACAGTTCACTGGTCCATGTGGGAATCAAACAGGCGACACTGTTGCTCAGAACTCGCACTCTTGAGCAAGCTCTCAACCAACTGAGTCACTCGGCTGGCCCATCACCTAATTTTTAATTCTACACCATCTTGTTATTTTTATCCCTACATTTCACCAAGTCTTCCCCTCCCTGAACCTTATTCCTTGCTTCTCTTACTTAAGATAAAAGATGCTTAGGTAAGTCTACCGAGACAGTAAGTAGACCAGAGGTTGCCTAGGGTTGGAGAGTCTGGCAGGGCCTGGGGGTAACTGCTAACAGGTTCGAGGTTTCCTTTTGGGAGGATAAAAATGTTCTAAAATTGACTGTGAAAATACTAAAAACCAATGAACTGTGCAATTTAAATAAATGACTTATATGGTAAGTGATTGATACCTCATGTATAAAGCTGCTATAAAGATACAGAAATAACAGACACTTCTCAGTGTCTAGATGTACTCCTCTGAACTGTAAGGGTTAAATCTCAGTCCCTTCCCTTCCCCTTTCCTCCAGAGCAGACAGCACAGTGCTCTCTTTGCACTTTGTAGAAACTCAGAACCAGTTAAAGTTTATCCTGGAAGGCCTTTCAGCACTTTGTTAGCTACTGTCTCTTAAATCTTCACTCTTATACTAATTGCAAGGCTGTTCCGAATAAAGTTGATTTGTGATTCTAACTGGAGAGTAAACAAGAGACTCCAATTTAAGAATGCCTATGAAGCTCCCACACACACCTCACCTCAATGTCGTTGTCCTTCAGGGGCTGCGCCAGCATTTTATCATGTGAGGACCACAGGTCAGCATCCTTGTGAGACCCGTTGACTGGAGCCGCCATTGCACTGGTTCAAAAGTTGCCTAAAAGCAGAAAAACTTCCAATATTAAATGTAGTGAAAGCTCATTGCAACCTGTTAATTCTCTGAGTTGCTAAAGTACTGACATTATTTTTTAGCATTTCCCTCAGAACTGCTTGGTAAACACAAAGATATTCTACTACAAAACCACTGTGTGGAACTTCTGGGTCCTTTGTGAACGGAGGATATCAGCTTGTTATCCTGTTATTAATGAGAATTATCCATGCCCCTTTTTTTTTTTTAAACATTTTTATTGGGGAATTGGGGGAAGGGGAACAAACAAGTTGCTGTCTTTTTGTTCTTCAGTCTAGTTGTGGAATAGGTTGCTTCACTGGCCCAAGTTGGCACCATCATTGCGCTCTTCCCGGGCGAGGCAGATCAGTCGCCGGCTTCTGGACGGCCACTCACTGAGGCTGCTGGCCGCTCACGCTGGCTGCTGGCCACACACGGTAGCCCATGGCAACCCACTGCCACAGGGGCTGCAGCCTACGCCGTCGCCGGCGACTCACAGCAGCCCAGCTCCAGGTTGAGCTGTTGTTCAGCATCTTAGCTGTGGAGGGCAGTGTCACTGGCCCTCATATGTGGGATCCGAACCCGGGGCCCTCTGGCATCCCAAGCCAGTTCTTAACCATCGCGCCACTCGGCTGGCCCTATCCCTGCTCCTTTTGAAGCCTGACTCAGTGGACAGAAAGCCCTGCACCGCCTCTTCCCAGCTAACCTTTCCCTGGTTGTGGCTTATCTCCCCCAAACTTCCTTGAAGGCAAAGACTGGGTATTCCTTTAATTTTTTTTTTATTCTCCCACAGAATCCAGCATGGTCATACATGAAGTAATACTTGCCGAGAGGGCCAGCCGAGTGGCTCAGTTGGTTAAGAGCTCACTCAAGGGTTTGAACTCTGAGCAACAGCGGTTGAGTCTGGCCCGAGCTGAGCTGCAGATGAGCTGTCAACAGGTGGCAGGATGGCTCAGCTAAAAACAAAAACAAAAAAAACTTGCCGTGCCAGGTAGGCACTAGATCTATCAAGGTGATAGATGGGAATGGATTTGGGGACAGGGTGAAAAAGGTGAAGGCATTAAGAAATACAAATTGGTAGTTAATAGAGTATGGGGAATATAATCCACAATGTTGTATAGATCATGTAAGGTGCCAGCTAGGCACTGGACTTATCAGAGGTTTCATATCATAGACTGTGCAGATGTCTGACCAATGTATTATATACCTGAAGCTGAAGTAGAATAATATTGAATGCCAACTATAACTAAATATATAGGTATATATAGTCACGGGATGTGGAGTGCAACATAGGGAAGATAGTTGATGGTTTTGTAACAGCTATATAAGATGTCAGAGGGGGAGTAGCTTGGGGGGGTAGGTTATCACTTTATGAGGGGTTTAAATGTCTATTATGTTGCTTGTACACCTGAAACTAATAAAAAAATAGTAACCACAACAACAACAAAAAAAATACCTTCTATAATGAAAAAAAAAAACCAAACAAAAAACTTGCCGAATGACTGAAAAATTGAGTTGCTGAATTAAGTGTTATTTTTTCAATTTTTCAAGTAATAAAAATGAGGCTCAGAGAAGTAAAGCACTTAACCAAGGCTGCACAGCAAGTCGGCTATGAAAGTCAGACTGGAAACTCCAAATCTCGTGCTCTAAGTACTCCACAGGCATCCAGTAGAAAACGCCAAGTTACAGCACTCCCTTGCCTCAATGCAAACCCCGCTATAAGCATTAAGGTCAGATTTGTGTCTATATTTTTCATCAGAAAATTGCATCCCATTAAAATACTGGAAAATGTTTCTTAAGGTGTTTCTACAAAGAACGAGGGGTTTGTGATCAGTGGCATCTCTCCTGGTGTGAAAGTTTAAATACTTACAGGAACTAACCTTCCTTAGTCAATAGTTGGCAGCTTTTTAGTACCTTTCCATTAATTTGGTAAGTCTTCAGCTAAAATTCATTCATTCAGCAACTATTTATTGAGGACCATCTCTGTGCTGGCTATGGCGTTGCTGCTGGAAATACAGTGGTGAATGTAACAGACTGGGGCCTGCCTTCACGGGATTTCCCTCCCAGGGAAAATGAGCAGCAAACAAACAAGTGCGCTAAATGCACACGGATAAAACAAGGAAAATGATGAGACGGTATTTTAACAGTGGCACTAAATCTTCTATTTTGAGATTTGGACCTCTGGTATAATTTGATTTAACAAGTGTAATTTAGCTTGGGGCTTTTTAAAAAAGTTTTTTTCTCTTTTCTTGGCCTCCTTTCCGCCAAATCTTAACAACTGTTTACTTACTATACATTCACTGTGCATACCAGTTTCAATGGTTCTGTTTACCTCGGCCCAGTGCTGGCCCTGTGACTTGGGAGAGGTTTTTGCATCTATACAGGATCCACTCCTGGCTCCAACTTAAATCTACGTAACATATGCAAAGGTTGTTATGATAAGTTTAACTGCTTCGCCCACCTCAACGGACAAAGCCGAACTCAACAGAAAATTCACTACTGGCTGAAGCATTTATATCCTAGTTAGAAAATATAAAACTTCAGATGAAATGAAGACTCAATGCAGTAGTTTCCAACAGACTCTGCCCAGCTGAACCTTCTCTTAATTTAATAAACCTTCCTTCTGTATCTCTACCTGCCTTGTGAATCCTTTCACAACCAGCCTACGAGCAGCCACAACAGCAAGTGCCATTAAGGACAAGAGCTGGGGGCTGGGGCAAGCAGGGCTCGCTGGACAGCTGGTCCGGGGCCTATCTGAGGAGAGGACCTCTGTATTGAGAAAGATCCATCCAATCATGAGGAGAGAGCCCATTTCCCAACAGTGCTATGAAATAATAAGAAATAAATATTGGTCTCTACTCTTAAACCCATTGTGATTTCCTAAGTGATAAGAGGACTAGGAATTAGCCCGTGGCTGCACACATTGGCCATGAAGGTCAGAATTGCTCCAAATCACATGCTCTAGAAAGAGGGCTAGGAACATCTCTGCTTCTACTGAGGGGACTCGGGGTGGCTCCTGGGTGGGGGCTGGTCATCAGGAAGACCAAGCCAGGATTAGAAGCTGACATTTTCAGTCCCACACCCCAATTCTCCAGAGAGGGTTGGGGGCTGGAGATGGAGTTAATGATCGATCGTGCCTATGTGAGGAAGCCCCCGTAAAATCCCAATAGCATGGGGTTCAGAGAGCTTCCAGGTCGGTGAACACAACCACGAACCAGGAGGGTGATGCACCCCAACTCTATGGAGACGGAAGCTCCTGAGCTCAGGATCCTCCCAGACCTCACCTGTGTATCTCTTCACCTGGCTGTCCATCTGTGTTCTTTATCACAGCCTTTAAAAAACTGGGAAATGGGGCCGGACGAGTGGCGCATTGGTTAAGAGCTGGCTTGGGACGCCAGATGGCCCCGGATCGGATCCCACATATGAGGACCAGTAACACTGCCCTCTACAGCTAAGATGCTGAACAACAGCTCAACCTGGAGCTGGGCTGCTGTGAGTCGCCGGCAACGGCACAGGCTGCCATGGGCTACCGTGTGTGGCCGGCAGCCAGCGTGAGCGGCCAGCAGCTGCTGTGAGCGGCCGTCCAGAAGCCAGCGACTGATCTGCCTCGCCCAGGAAGAGCGCAACGATGGTGCCAACTTGGGCCAGTGAAGCAATGTCCTCCACAACTAGACTGAAAAACAAAACGACAGCAACTTGTCTGTTCCCCTTCCCCAATTCCCCAGCTCTGTTCCCATCCCCCAATTCCCCAATAAAAATCTTTAAAAAACAAACAAACAAACAAACAAACAAACAAAAACACTGGGAGATGTAAGTAAGTGTTTCCCTGAATTCTCTGAGCCTCTCTAGCAAATTGATTGAACCCAAGAAGGGGGGTCATGGGAACCTCTGATTTGTAGCTGACAGAAGTTGTGGGTAACCTGGGGACCTGCTACTTGTGATGGCATCTGAAGTGGGGGATGGTCATGTGGGGTTACAGTTACCTCCGATTAGCATCAGAATTGAATAGAATTATAGAACACTAAGCTAGTGTCACAGACTGCTGGAGTGTGGAAACCCCCCACACATCTGGTGTCAGAAGTGTTGCAAGTGTGGTAGTAGTGTGAGAGGAAAGGGGAAACACAGCGGGAAGGCTATAGTTTTTCCTGTACAAGTACACACAGTATAATTTGCTAGACAAATATATCCATTAAATAAAATAGTCTAATAGTCCCAAACCACAGTGATCATCCTTAAACTCTAGCAGAGCTACTAAAAAGAAACTATCAACAACCTTTAACCAGGAAATTCCTCACTGGGGCTTTTAAGGCACCCCTTATTTTACCACAAGCACAACAGGATTAGAAATGCAGCCATGCCTGCAAAACACAAAGCAAAGGTGGAAGCACTTGTACTTGAATGCAATGGACACCTTGGTGGCAACAAGTGTCACTGTTATACAATGTCCAAGGTCAGGCAGGGAGCCTTGAACATAGCTGGCCACATCCCTATTGCCGTCAGAGGTGGAGGGAGAAACATGCAAATGCTTTGGGCACTGTGCCCAACAGCTTCTCCACGCTGACCTCTGAACTCAAGGATGGCCAGTGCAAACCACGGGCCTCTCTGCATGGGCCAACTCACACGCCCTCAGCAGATGGTAAGCCCATAAAAAGAAGCAGCAGAGGCAAAATGGGCCTCCTGGTCTTCGGATCTCAAAGAGAAAAGCTTTGTTTAAATATTGACCAGTCAAGGTTAAAAAGGATTTGAAGGTGGCAAGCAACACAGCAACCAACAAATAACTAATGTCCATCTGGAACCTTTCTCCTCTGAGGACAGTCAGATAGATTTACAATCACACAGGGAAAGGCATTCAGTCCCACTCTGCTCAGGAAAAAGAAAAGTATCTATCTTCATCTGTGGTCTCACTCACTTCACTTCAGCATAACAACATACTGCCCTTTGCTCTCCTTGCAAATCTTTTCCTTAATTCTGAGTCAGTTACTTCTTAACTCTGGGCAGAGAGTATATGTGTGGCCGTCTCCCCCTCCTCAGGCCAGCAGTAGCACCCTGCTCTCATTGTCCACCCACCTGAAGGAGTTTTCTCTCCTGCATCCTGTTACCACTCAGGATCAGGTCATCCCCCAAATGGAGGACTTAATCTTACCCTCATTAAATCCACACCCTCCTGGAGTCCAAATTAAGCTTTCTTTTTTCTTACTGTGAAGAAGTTTGAATTCTTCATTCAAAGGGTTCAAGATTGTCTTGTTTCAATTAAATCAATTATATCTATTATAGGTATAATCTAGTATCTCTAGTACATCAATTTAATCTGTCATATCCCCAGTCATTCTGAATTACAGTAAGAAAGCCAAAGATCCTGAGTGTGATGGTCAATTTATGTGCCAATTTGACTGGGCTCAGGGGTGCCCAGAGAGCTGGTAAAGCAAGAAAGACAAACACCCTGAGACTGTGTGCTCTCTAAGATGCAGAGAGAGGGCCGGCCGAGTGGCGCGATGGTTAAGAACTGGTTTGGGACGCCAGAGGGCCCCGGTTCAGATCCCACATATGAGGGCCAGTGACACTGCCCTCCACAGCTAAGATGCTGAACAACAGCTCAACCTGGAGCTGGGCTGCTGTGAGTTGCTGGAGATGGAGTAGGCTGCAGCCCCTGTGGCAGTGGGTTGCCATGGGCTACCGTGTGTAGCCAGCAGCCAGCGTGAGCGGCCAGCAGCCAGCGTGAGCGGCCAACAGCCAGCGTGAGCGGCCAGCAGCCGCAGTGAGCGGCCGTCCAGAAGCCGGCGACTGATCTGCCTCGCCCGGGAAGAGCGCAAAGATGGTGCCAACTTGGGCCAGTGAAGCAACGTCCTCTACAACTAGACTGAAGAACAAAACAACAGCAACTTGTCTGTTCCCCTTTCCCTAATTCCCCAGCGCTGTTCCCATCCCCCCAGTTCCCCAATTAAAAAAAAAAAAAGATGCAGAGAGAACATCATCATTTTTAGCTAATACTATATTTAGGGAAGACATATTTAGCACCTTTTCTTAAGGTCTGGAGGTTGACTGAACAACAATATGCCTTTAACTTCTCTCAATTTTTTAAAAACTGTGATAAAATATACACAAAATTTATCATTTTAACCATTTTAAGTGCACAATTCGGTGGCATTAAACACTTTCACATTGTTGTGAAACCATCCCCACCATCCATCTGCAGAATTTTTTAATTTTCCCAAAATGAAACTCTGTCCCCATTAAACAACTCTCCATCCCTCTTTCCCCCAGCCCATGTTAGCAACTATTCTTTCTATTCCTGTGAATTTTATTACTTCAGCTACCTAATGTAAATGAAATCACATAATATTTGTCCTTTTGTGTCTGGCTTATTTCACTTAGCATAATGTATTCAAAGTTCATCCCTGTTGTAGCATGTGTCAGAATTTCCTTCCTTTTTAAGGCTGGATAATATTCCACTAGATGTATATGCCACATTTTATTTATCCCTTCATCCATTGCTGACGCTAGGTTGCTTCCACCTTTGGCTATTTTGAGTAATGCTGCTATGAACGTGGGTGTACAAATATATAGTCCCTCTTTCAATTCTTTTGGGTATATACCCAGAAATAGAATTGCTGGGTCATATAATAATTCTATGTTTAATTGAAAATAAGCTTTTGATATTTACAAGCTCTACTCCTCTATCAGCCTACATTGAATTCATTCATTCCTTCGACAAATATTTATTGAGCAACTCCTATGTCCCAGGCACTGAACTAGGAGGGCCAACAAGACAGAGGTCCTGCTCTTACGAAAAACAGACGACAAACAAACACACAAGATAATTTCAGGCAGTGATAACTGTTGTGAGGACAATAAACGGGTGGGGGTTCTTTAGACAGCGCCTGGATTGTGCCTGAGCTGAGAGGTAAACAGTTGAAAGGAGCCAAGCTTAAGAGATCTGGGGTAGGAGAGAACAAACATCAGGCAGAGCAAACACAAAGTGCAAAGGCCCTAATATGGGAAGCTCGATTTGTCAAGGTTCAGAAATCACACCTACATTGGCTAAGCCTGGGGACCAAAGCAGAGGGAGGCACAGGAGATGAGATTCACAGGCCAGAATAAGAGCAGAGCTGGGAGAAGAGATTTTCACCTTGACAGTACATATTTCACAAGTTTCAAACTGTGTTCTAGAAACCTCAGTCTTGGGCTACTTCTCAGTCCATCTGTGAAATCTGATTCTCCCATTTCCCAACAGTGAAGGCCACACCTGAGGAAATGGTGCTGGGGCTCACCACAGAGCCAGCCTGCTGGGTTCAAATCCCACTCTCCACCTCCTAATAAGCAACCCCAATTACCAACACCTCTGTCTCAGTCCCCTCAATATAACATAAGGATGATACAATTCTGAAGCTGGCATGAGAAAAATGAGGTATCAGACAAAGAGCACTCAGAACAGTGCCAGGCACAGAGTAGGATTCCAAAATTATCAGCTATGATTGTTATTAAAGAAACATGATGGGCCTGCCAGATGGCTCAACTGGTTAGAGAGCAAGTTCTGAGCAACAGGGTTGCCGGTTAGATTCCCACATGGGCCGGTAAGCTGTGCCCGAGATGAGCTGCCACTGAGCTGCCAACAGGCGGCTGGATGGCTCAGCTGGTTAGAGCGCGTGCTCTTAACAAGGGTGCCAGTTCAACTCCCACATGGGATGATGGGCTGCGCCCCCAGCAACTAGATTGAAAGTGGCAACTGGACTTGGAGCTGAGCTGCACCCTCCACAACTAAGATTGAAAGACAACAATTTGACTTGGAGCTGATGGGTCCTGGAAAAACACAATGTTCCCTTCCCCAATTGCACAATAAAATCTTAAAAAAAAAAAAAAAAGAAAAGAAAGAAACATGAGACCTTAGGGCCATCTTCATTACCATTCAGTGACCCCTGCTGAGCACCCCAGGGGAACACAGCTCACTGCAGCCACAGTAACTGTCATTACAGTGTTGGGTAGTTCTGTTGGGAAAATGTCACTCCTCTGTGGCATGAATCTCACCTCAATACCAGGGAGACAGATCTAGTAAAGTGAATTTACTGGCCAACGTCACCAGCCTCCCCATACCTCCAAATCTTCCCTGGGCCTTTGTCACACAAGTGAAACCAGCCAGGGGTCTGCTGAGGGAACAACCCTGTGGAATGCCTGTCTCTCTCACACAAAGATTTTGTGACCTCTACTTTACCATGAAAGAAACTGAGGCTCAGAGAGCTAAGTGGTCTAAGGTCATATAATAAGAGTCAGAATCTGAACTATGGCTTACCTCTAGTTCCGAAGCCCTTTTTCATGACACTGCTCTAAATAAAAGCACAATTACCCACTTCCACTGCATGTTCCCTAAAGTAAGAAATTAAAAATATGATTCCATAAGACTCTAAACCGGTGATTCCAGTACAGCAACTGCCTGATTGATTGCACAAGTTTGTGCTGGCCTCAACTGACCAAGGTTCTCTTAACTTCCAGAACCTCAAAGCACTGGGCACTGGGCCAAGAACCCTACAGCACAACATTTGTCTCCTAGAACACAGGGTGACAGATTGCAGACAACAGGTGCAACCCCTCCCAGAAACCCCTCCGGGGCAGGGATCTGGTAGTCTACTCCAAAAGGCATAGCGGACACATCCGTAGCATAGGCTTCAGAGCCTCCATTCGATTCCAGGCTGTGCCGTTTTGCCTGCTGCAGGTCGTGCCTAAGGTGGCTCTTCTCTCCGAGCCTCACCTTTCTCATCTGTAAAATGGGCTACGTGATAGCACTCGACTTGCAGCTTTATTGTGAGGATACTGTAGCGAGATGAAGAGCTGCGCTTAAAATTAAAACCCTCAGGCCGGCCCAGTGGCGCATTGGTTAAGAGTTGGCTTGGGACCCAGCTCTGAGTAGCAGGACAAGGTTTGGATCCCACATGAGGACCACTGACGCTGCGCCCTCTACAGCTGAGATGGTGAACAACAGCTAGACCAACAGCTAGACCTGGAACTGGGCTGCCTTGAGTCGCTGGCATTGAGGTAGGCTGAGGTGGGGCTGCAATGAGCTGCCAGGTAGCCAGCATGTGCTGCCAAGAGCCGCTGTGAGCGGCCTCCAGTGGTTGGCGACTGATCTGCCTCACCCAGCGCAATGATCATACCAACATGGGCCAGTGAAGCGAAGTCCTCCACAACTAGACTGAAGAACAAAAGGACAGCAACTTGTCTGTTCCGCTTCCCCGATTCCCCAACGCTGTTCCCCTCCTCCAATTCCCCAATAAAATATTTTTTAAAAATTTAAAATGCTCAACCAGAAAAGTGCTCAGTAGACAGCGGTAACTTGTATCAACAATAAGCCTCCCTAGCTGTGTTTAGCTGAGGCCACCACCCCTACCGCACCGACTGGGTGCAGGAACCGGGAGCCCCGCTCGCCGCCGCCCAAACCCTCACCCCAGGCACTAACAAGGTGCTCCTCAACTCATCCGGCTTCTAGACCCGGGGTGGGTGGGGGTGGGGAGCACGGCCAGAAGGCGCTGACACCAAGGCGGCTGGAGAGCGCCGCTGACACCGAGGCCCCGGGACCCGAAGCCGCCCACCTACCGAAACGGGTTCCGTGCACCAGCCTAGAGACACCTCGGCACCACGTTGCTGCCGGCGCGACCAGAGTCGGAGGTCGGTCGACCCGCGCACCGCCGGGCACCCGCCACGTGACACGCCGCGCTAGCCTCGCACAGTGAATTTGCCGCTCGGAGGCTGGCGTTTCACTCGGTACCCGGCGCGCGCCGCCCTGGGCCTGGCCCCACTTCTGGCGGCGCCCAATCAGAGTGCGCCAGCGCCATTGGCTGCCGCGGAGCGGTGGGCGTGTCTGGCCCTGTCCGGGAGAGGCCGGCGGAAGCGGCTGCTCGCCTGAGGACTGCAGCGGCTGGGTTTGGGTGCACCCGAGGGATAGGGTGGCTGGGACTTCTGGGAGGACCAATGAGGGCCGGGATTGGGGGTGAATTTTGTTGCTTATGTTTAACTTGTGCATTGTCCTACTTACAGCTTAGTACAGTGGTCATTTAAATAGGACAAACGTGGGTTCGAACTTCGAAACTATTGCTCCGTGCATGTGGTATCCTATGCCAGTCACTTAACTTTTTTACTTTTTACCTTTTTTTTTTAGCTGAGCCATCCTGCTACCTGTGGCAGCTCAGCGGCTGCTCAGCTCGGGCTGGACTTGAACCGCTGTTGCTCAGAGCTCAAACCCTTGATCGAGCTCTTAACCAACTGAGGCACTCGGCCGGCCCCAGTCACTTAACTTTTTGAGTTTCATATTTCTCATCTTTGAATTGGAGATAATTATAACTGCCTGGCAGGGCTATCGGAAGGATTAACAGACATATCTAAAACACTTAGTATTGTGTCTGATGCATAATAAGGGCTCAATAAATATTAGCTATTGATAAGAATAATAAAAACCAAGGGGCTGCACAGTATAGGGAAAAGAGCTGACAAAGACCAGATTGTACTCAGGCTCCCCTGAACTCTTTTTTAACTTAGCCTGCCTTTTAGACTTTTGTGGTTGTCTCTGCATTGTCCAATTTTAGCAAAGATGCTGCTAAGTCAGTTTGACCAGAGCCCCCGCCCTCCATATCTGGTTGGATTCTTCATCCTCCACCATCTGGATGATGTCTGATCACCCTGGCCTACTCAGTTTAGCCAGAATTCCCCTTATCCCTGACATTCCCTCCTAGTAATTTTCCATACATTGACACCCAAACTTGGGAGCAGAAGTTTCTCTTGATCCCACAGGGTTGTGGTTGCCTCTAGCTCAAAACAATCCACATATCACAGAGGCACATCTTGGGGTGACTCGTTCTGAGCCCCCATAGCTGTATAAGGGAGTGAGATTCCTTTCTGTCTTTGCACTTTTTGTCTTGTGAACCAAAAAAAAGAGGTTCTTACGGAAAGTAACCTCACAGGATGATCTCATCATAAATTCCTAACTGGGCAGATCATGGTGGGTAGTCATATCCAGGCATATAACTTCTTTAGTGAAAGATTTATCTTTGCTTTCAGTAAGCCCTGTCCATGGTTTTTGTGCATCTCGGTTAATATACCTTTGAAATAAGAGGTAAGCACCCACAAGAGAGCATATCATCGAAACTATTATGTAATTTGACCCTGCCTTGCTTTCTCCCACCTTCATGTAATCTTCCTTGAATTTCCTCCTTAATTTCAAATGCATAAAAAAAACTTCAAAACTGTCATTCTCCAGAGTATGAGAAATTTCTTCCCAGCATTGTCATCAGTTTGGGACCAAATAAACTCATAACAATTTTCTACAGATTTGGACGTTCTTATGTTGACAAAGGCCACAGTCCTAGGTCTCCCTGGCTTGCCTCTCCCAGCTTGGAATCCCAGCCCCATGAGCAAGGGCAGGGATTATGGGTGCCTGCGTAGAGCCTTGGTCTCACAAATGGGGATTGGGTGAAAGAAGGAAGCCCCCACTCTTGTTTGCACTAACCCAGAGCTTAGCCTAAGCAACTGGAGGTCAAGGGCAGGATGAGAAATGATGAAGTCCTGGCTCTTCTGAGAGGGTAGCCCAGGGACTTGGAGCTGGGGAGAGAAAAAGTCCTATTATCCTGACTGTGCGAGTCTGTGGTGGGATTTTCTCTCGGAGCTGGGAGGAGGGAAGAACTTCTTGGTTTAAACATCACAGACTTACTTTTCTCACTATATTTTAGTAGATTTTCTTGAATAAATGTTTCTTCATTTGCTGGGTGTCCTTAGGACCATTTCCAGAGACTTTTTTTTTTTTTAATAAGTTTCACCAGTTTCTCTGTGGTGCAGATCCACAGAGGTATTTATATTGTCATGCCTGTAGTGGAACTCAACGTAGATGAACTTTGAATGCATTTTACTTTGTGAAAGAAGCCACAAACAAAATGCTGTATTTAAAAAATTATGGGGGCCGGCCAAGTGGTGTGATGGTTAAGAACTGGCTTGGGACGTCAGAGGGCCCCGGTTCGGATCCCACATATGAGGGCCAGTGACACTGCCCTCCACAGCTAAGATGCTGAACAACAGCTAAGATGCTGAACAACAGCTCAACCTGGAGCTGGGCTGCCGTGAGTCGCCAGCGAAACAGCATAGGCTGCAGCCCCTGTGGCAGTGGGTTGCCATGGGCTACCGTATGGTATGTAGCCAGCAGCCAGCGTGAGCGGCCAGCAGCTGCAGTGAGCGGCCGTCCAGAAGCCGGCGACTGATCTGCCTCGCCTGGGAAGAGCGCAATGATGGTGCCAACGTGCCAGTGAAGCAATGTCCTCCACAACTAGACTGAAGAACAAAACAACAGCAACTTGTCTGTTCCCTTCCCCCAATTCCCCACCACTGTTCCCATCCCCCCAATTCCCCAATAAAAATCTTAAAAAAAAAAGAAAAATTACATTTATATGGCATGCTGAAAAAGGAAAAATTATAGGGATGAAAAACAGATGAGTGGTTGCCAGGCATTGGGTGTTGGAGGAGGTGTTGACTACAAAGGGAAATGTTGGGGGTGCTGGGACTATTCCTTATGGCATCGATGTGGGGAATACATGTCTTTAAACATTTCTCAAAATCTGCAGAACTGTATACCACAAAGATAAATATTATGAATGCAAATTTAAAAAAATTAATCAGATTGTGGAGGCAACCCAAAATAGCATGCAGACTGTGACAAACAAATGTAACTGTATTACAAATGAATCACATAACCACACTGAAGGGAATGGGTAAGAAAGGAGCCGACCTAATTAAGTTTGGAAAATGATGTTTTGACTGTATACTGTAATGCTAAAGACAAAAAGAACTACAGGAAAACCTACATACTCAGTCGGTAAGTGTATTTCTCAGTGGGTTATAGGTTAGCAATTCTGAAACTACTTTTTATTATTTTTAAAGATTTTTATTAAAATATAGCTAACACACAATATTATGTTAGTTTCAGGTATACATTATACTTATTCAACAGTATCCACCTGGCACTATACAAAGTTATTACCACATTATTGATTATATTCCCTATGCTAAAGAAGTGATCACCATGATAAGTCCAGCAACCATCTAACACCGTACCATGCTATCTATTGCTATATTATTGACTATATTTCCTATGCTGTATATTACATCCCCAAGACTTATTTGTTTTACATCTGGAACTTTGAACCTCTTATTCTTTTTTACCTTTCCCTCAAATTTTTAAATTGGAGTTGACATTCAATATTATTTTGTATAAGTTTCAGGTGTACAGCATATGGTTAGACACATATAATTTAGGAAGTGATATCCCTGAACTAGTAACCACCTGGTACTGTACATAGTTATTACCATATTATTGATTATAATATCTATACTTTACATCCCCCCATAAATCTAGTATCCATCTGAAACCATACAGTGTATTAAATATTATTGACTATATTCTTTATGTTATACCCTACATCCCCATGACTATTGTGTAACAAACAATTTGTACTTCTTAATTCCTTCTCCTTTTTAGTCACTCTCAAACTCCCTCCCATCTGGCAACCATCAAAATGTTTTCTTTATCTATGAGTTTGTTTCTGTTTCATTTGTTTATTTTGTTCTTTAGATTCCACTTATAAGTGAAATCATGTGACATTTGTCTTTGCTGTCTGACTTTCTATATACTCAGCATGATCCCCTCTAGGTCCATCCATGTTGTCGCAGATGCAAGATTCATTCTTTTTTAAGGCTGAGTAATATTCCATTGTATGTCTGTACCACCTCTTCTTTATCCATTCATCCATTCAGGGACACCCAGGTTGCCTTCATATCTTGGCTTATGTAAATAATGCTGCAATGAACATATGGAAGAGCACATCCCCTCAAAGTAGCATTTTGGGTTTGCTTGGATAAATACCCAGAAGTGTGATTACTAGGTTCTTCTTTGTCTCTTGTTATAGTCTTTGTTTTAAAGTCTATTTTGTCTGGCATAAGTATTGCTACTCTAGCTTTTTGTTTGCCTGTTTGTTTCCATTTCCATGAGATATCTTTTCCATCCCTTAACTTTCAGTCTGTGTGTGTCTTTCGATCTGAAGTGTATCTCTTGTAGGCAGCTTATTTAAGGGTCTTGTTTTCTTATCCATTCAGCTCCCCTATCTTTTGATTGGAGCACTTAATCCATTTATATTGAAAGTAATTGTTGATAGGTATGGAGTTATTGCCATTTATATTCATATTTTTTATTTTATTTTTTCATCTTGAAGAAGTCCCTCTAAGATTCCTTATAATATACTGGTTTGGTGGTGATGAACTTCTTTAGCTTTTTCTTATCTGGGAAGCTCTTTATCTGTCCTTTGATTCTAAATTATAGCTTTGCTGGGTAGAGTAATCTTATTTGTAGATCCTTGCTTTTCATTACTTTGACTATTTCCTGCCAATCTCATCTGGCCTGCAAAATTTCTGTTGAGAAATCAGCTGATAGCTGTCTAAATTAACGACCAGTTAATCCCTGGTCATTCACAGAATGTAAGAGAATTTAGGAGACTCTACAAGAGTATCCAGAGAAAAGATTTATTGAAAGTCAAAGAGAGAGAGGGAGAAAGAGAGAGATGGGAGAGAGAGACTGGCAAAAGTTTAGCCAGGGCAGAGTCCGATGGGGGATAGCCGCACCAATGAGAAGGAATGCTGGGGTTTTATATTTTTCCAAGCAGTATGTAGGGTGCTTGTCAGTTTGCAGGGGGGCCACCATTACAATTGTCTTCTCCTGGGAACTGTCCTCTTCCCCTCTATGATGGATGTCAACTTG